AGAGGCCTTTAAGCAGGCCGGGCATTTGAAACCCTACATCCTTCACCCTCAGCACTCCTGCCATTTTCCCTTAACCAGCCAATGTGAACCTACTCACTCTCAGCACACTTTCACTTTAGTAAACTTTGCTGCTCCTTCCTGCCATATGCCCTGCCTAACTCTTTGTTTAAAACACACAAGAACATGGACTGAAGCCATCGCTGAGCTCCACAATTGCTGGTAAGAAAAGGGACTCTCACTGTCTCAAAGATAGTGTAATTAGGATTCCCGGGACCTGGAGAAGCAGCCCATACTTACTGTCTCTCTCCATTTTCTCTTTGCCCCGTACCCCAAGGCATGCTCATTAAGCCAAGTTTTCAGTACTTTTTTTTGAAGCCAGATTTTTATGTTTAATTTTCAATTTACGCATAGCTGAAGTTAGCCACCAGAATATATAACTTTAAATTGTCCCTATCTAAAACTCTCTACATGTCTCTGGCACTCTTAGTATGAATTATTGGGAAAACATAGGATTGGCCATTGTATACCCAGTGTATTGAATAGTTTAGATAGCATGCCTTTTTTTTCCCCTTTCCCTTCCTTTCTTTCTCCTTTCCTTCACCCCAATTTCTCTTTCTTTTTGAATCGTTTCTTATTTCACAGTATCTATTGTACATTTTGGACCTTATTTACTCTTTTGATTTCTCACACCAGGGAGACAATGTGATGTCTACACATGTGATTCTGATTTATTTCACTTATGAGTATGGTCACAAGTTGTATTTATTTACCTATAAACATTTCAAGTTTATGTTTCTTTATGGCTGAGTACTACTACATTGCATAAAAAGACCATATATTTTTTATAAAAAAAATACAAGATAGTTATACTACTAGTTTTTCTTAGTTCATGGTAAAGAAAGGTCTGTGCTAGAATATTATTTGGACAATTTTTCATGTCCATATCTTTTACTTTAGTCAATATACAATGTATTAATTACTGTTACTTTCCTATTATTTTGTTTTGAAATTTTGTTTTTTCTTTAAAATTTTTGTTTTTCCTTTAAATTAAAAGAGTAGTATATATATTTTTTGAAGTTAATAGAATAAACACACCTGAAATTTTGCTGAAAATTTAATAACAACCTGCTGAGGAAATACAAAACACTACAAGATATACACATTTTTGTATTTTTTTACCCAAACACCATGTTTTCTATCAGACTGGTTTTGCAATATCCATTTCTGCTTAAGCATTGTTGAGTGTTTTAAATTAATAAATGTCTTGTTCTTTTCTAAAAATATAAAGAATGTACATCTGTTTTAAAAGTAAAAAGTAATGAAATGCCTATTGTTATCCAGTCAGCAATGCCTAGTGGTATAGAGCTCTTTAGTCCCGTTGCTCAGCTGGTAGATTCTATGCACCAGCAAAAGCAGCAAAGGGGATTAGTGAATTGACCAGCACATTATGGGCATCTCCTTTCACAAACCCTTGCCAAATCAGTGTCTCAAGAGGACCATCAGGCTCACCATCAATAACAATGCTTCTTTAGAGAGTCTCAAGCTCCAGGGTGCTACTAGTTCTTCTACTGTTATGGCAAGTATAACTCAGTGTTTACCTTTCAGTAGTGTTTTACTGTGTTAATGCTAACAGTTTAACAATTTGGCTTAACAGTATCAGTCTATTGATTTTTTTTTGTTATTTTTCAGTTTTTTTTCCCAGTACTGGGAATTGAACTCATGACCTTACACTTGCCAGGCAGGTGCTGTGCTGCTGAGCCAAGTCCCCAGCCCCTTCAGTCTATTGATATTGATCAATCAATATCGATTTTCCGCATTCAATGTAAGGAAGGGTTAAATTTAGGGGAATGGAATTTAATAAGAAAATATCAAGAGTTAAGGATAAAGTAGTTTCCTGTTTTGCACTCAACCTCTTTCACTGAATTCTAGGGCAAGGTAGGACTTTCTAAGACCAAGTTGAACAGGACCGTAGTACATTTTTTTCCAAGACAAGGTCAGATATTGATGACAAGGAGGTCAATGAAACCTTCCATTTTAATTGGCCCACAATGACAGTTTTGTTTTGTTTTGTTATGTTTGCTTTGTGATATTGGGGGTACAAAGCTACATCCCTAGCTCTTTTTATTTGGATAAAATATTTTTGCTACATTGGTCTTGAATGAACGAAAGATCCTCCTGCATCATCTTCTAAAATCCTGGGATTACAGACCAATTTTTGAGTCACATTTTTGCACTAAAATGCAGGGGAAAAACACGCTTTTCAAATGTAGCGTTTATTCCATCTTGGAGAAGTCAGTATGCATTGTGCATGAAGCATCCATCAGCTGGAACTCAAGGATAGAAGTGATATACAGGCCCAACAGTGGGCCCAGCTGTTCTCAAATTTTACCTGAGAAGGGCAAGGTCTATCCACACACTGGAAGCAGATGGGGAGTTTTATAACCTTCTACTACCCAAAACACCCCAATCAATTTAATCAGATTCTTTATAGATCCAGCTTTTGAAAAAAGCTGTCTTGCATGTTCTAATGTACAATCAGGTTTAAGAAGTATAGGCCAGACTTTGAGGAAGTAAAATTTATTCAGAACACATGGGAAGCAGGTTCTAACCAGCTGGCTGGTTCTTCTTCAAAAATTAAAAGAAGACAAAGAGAAAGAAAAGTAAAAAAATCAGGAGAACTTCAAATTTTCAGGAAATGATGGAAAAGAAGACTTAAAAGGTGGACTAGATGGTTCATCCACAGGGCTTCCTTGCAAGCACGATATCCAGAGCAGTGTTCTTCATCTCAGAACAGGGTGGCAGAGACCAAATTCAAACTTCTCTGTCTTTCTAGATGACAGAGTCTGTTTAAACAAAAAGGAAAAGACCCCCCCCCATAGTATTCTCACTGAATATTGTATATAGCTAAGATTTAGTCATGCATTCATGCCATGGACACTAGAATTTTTCAGAGACTATTGTCAAAATATAAGGAAAAGAAGGAACTCTGAATGAGAAGTGTGATCTAGATCTCCAAGGCTTTTTCCTTAACAAAATAACTTTGCAAAATCTTTCTTTCTAAAGTTACTGACTTGATGTTTGCTTGCAATCATTTCTTTACTTAGTCAATGAACTTATATTGGTGAACCAGCTCTTGTTAGGTACTTTCTTTAATGCTAGTCTTATTACATGGCTCACCCTCTCATCTTCTCCCTGTAAGATGCTTAGAGTCTGGTGAAGTGCATGTGGCTCTGGTACAGTAAGAGTTGAAAATGTGAGAAATTAGCAGGAAAGATGTTGAGATGCCAGGAAAGATTCCTCAGAGAAGTGCCATTTTAGTAAGTACTAAAAATAAATATGTTGTAAACAGCCCAACCTGGGGATAGGGATTAAGAACTCGGCTGGGTATGTCTGTGCACACATATAATCCCAGCTCTCAGGGAGGCTGAGGCAGGAGAATTGCCTTGAGTTTAAAACCAGCCTGGGGAACATAGTGAGTTCAATGCCAGTCTGAACTACAAAATGAGCCAGTGTCTTAAAACACAAATGAAATAAGTAATGAATTAATCAAGAATAAAAGAACTGAGAATTAGAGCAGCAAGAGCAAAGCCTTCCATTTGCCCTGAAAATACTAGCCAGATGTGCTTAAAACTGTACTCTTTTTTTCCCGAGAAAACTCAGATTACATTCCTAACCTTAACCTCCAAATCTGTGAGGATATATTTTGCTTTTATTATTATTCTCACATTGCTTTGATATACTGATAACTTTTGGAAACAGAGGCATCCCCCCATGTATAACATTCTAGTTTTAGTAGTGGCATTTCCATTTACAAAATAGAGTAATTCTCATTACTGAAAATTAAACGAACTCTGGCAGTGAGCTACATTCTTTTCCAAGTGGCATATTGGTTAGAAGAACTGCTGTGAATTCCGTGTCCTGAATTTCAAGTTTGAGATGGAAAAGTGGAAGATGGAGCCTCTCGATGAGGGACTATTGTTGAGGGACAGTGTGTGATTTTGTGTACTCATGGTGGGATGATGAAAGTACGGAGATCCGTCCGATAAATGTGCCAAGGATGAATTCTGAAATGGTGACTCTGGAGTTAGGGAGAAGGGCTATAGTCCAAAGGAGAAATTCTGAGGGCCTGAAAGCAAAGTCTTTCTAGAAATAACAGTCTAATTGTTTAGAGAGAGAATAAGCGAAGAAGTGAACGCATGACCTCTGAGAAACAAGCCTACAAAGATTTTTAATATATAATAAATGCAGTTTTCATATTAATTCTACTATGAAAGAAGTATATTCATACTTAAAACTTTGAGGCTACATTTTTATTACCCTCTATTAACTATCAGCATCAATATTATGTTAAAATGGGAATGACTAAACTTATACCTGGCTGACTAATAACACTGTGTTTGAAGATACCCACAGATTTCCTCTACAGTTCTACTTATCTCACCTCTAATATAGCCCTGGGTATTTTCAGCAAAATAGCATGTAATGTCAGCTACGTACTTAAACTGTGCACATCAGACCCTTGGGAACTATCAAGTTATCAGTCTTTACTACTGAAAACATATCATGATTTAAGTAGAACTACTCTAAATGGTTCAGATTACACTTATGTAATATTTTGAGTGACATGAAGATGGAAAGATTGTCGCTCAAAGGACTAGTTCAACCACCTCCATTTTTGTAGTGGATTGTGATTTTTTTGTGAAGTCAACCAAAGATATAAAAAGCTTCTTCTCCAAAAAATGAAAGGTCTTTCTTTGTATTTCTAAGTCTGGACAGTATAAATGAAATATTCTTTCTTCCTAAAAGGAAGATGAACAGAACATTATTTGTGATCCTTTTCACTTCTTCATAAAGTTTTTAAAGAAGTCTACCAAGAACAGCTTTGTGATCCCACAAAAACTGTTTCCTTTGATTTTATTTATGATCCATAATGGAAATAATATATTTTTAAAAAAGAAATACCTTGAGGCAAATAACTAATATTTACAACTCTTTATTGTTTATGTTTGTAAGCAGATTTTTCTCTTTGACTTCTTAGAACACATTCAAATCCCCAAGCTGATTCAGTAACTCATGCATGTATTTATGCTTCGTCTTGGAAATGTGCTCACGCTTCAGCCCAGAGCTTGTGGTGGTCCTCCAGTTCGCACAGCTTCTTCTGCTTTCGCTGTGTGTAGTAGAAAAGAGAAACTTCTTGAGCACCAAAAGGACATTTATTTCAAAATGCTCAAATAATTTCTACTGTCAGAAAGGCAGGAGGAGGAGGAGGAGGAGGAAGATGAAAGGGAGAGAAAGAAATGAATGAGTACAGTGCCAACTGTTCCTTTTGGACAGAAGAGTCTATACTACATGCCACAAGAGATTGTAATGTCCTTTAACCGAGGCAGAGCTTCCAGGCAAAGTCTACAGGAAGGACCTCCCGTTCCACAGGCTCTAAATCCAATGACTACACAAAGACAGATTGTGACAATGTTTAATGATTTAGTTATGATTGATTTTTATTATTTTATTATAATTACTAGGATACAATAATTTTATTATTTTATTATAATTACTATGATATAAGACAGGACTTTTCTGGACCTTAGGGTACTTGGAGAAAGCAGTGGTACAAGAAGTCACTCAGTATTCCCTATATGAGACACCATCACCGAAGGTCAGGGACAAACTAAAAATACTATACCGTTCTAGAGAACACGTTAGTGGTGAATAAAATACTTTCAATTATTTTAATTTATAAAATAATTGAAAGTAATCAGGTTAAGAGGCTAAATTGTTGTTTAGTTTTGTTTTGTTTTTTTTGCCACGTGGGTCTTACATGATTCATTGACTAGCCATTGACCTTGGTTGACTAGAAACCACTTATATTATTTGTTATGAGGCCATAACAAAACCATTAAGTGATGAATTCAAAATAGAACGAATTGCATTCCAGACACAACTATATACTGCGTAACTTCCGAAATTGTTTTGGTTATTTACAGCCAAAATCTTGGCTACATACCTTCGCTTTTGCAGTTTGGAGTGCTACTGGTAGATGGCGCTGTCTGGATGTAATTCGTGGTTGTTGGGACATATTCTCCATGCGGAATTTCAAAAGCCAGTTCACTACTTGTATCTTTTGCAGAATGCTCTAAGGTAATAAACACCCTGAGAATTAATCTCCCTGGTGATTACCAAACATGTAATTATATTTTGTGAAGTATGTTAGGTTCATTACTGTTTCAGACATTGTTCTATTTCTTGTGTTCCTGACAGACTTTGACTTCACCAACACTTTAGCATATTTTAAAATTTTTTTAAAAATTTCTTTTAGTTTTGTATTTTCCCCCACATTTTGATTCTTGGGATGAATTACATGGGCTTGGCATGTAAAAGCTGTTTGTGGAATAAGACCCCTCTTGTCTCTGTCACTATGTTCTTTTCCAGTGTAGTTTTCCATTCCAGAACATGTAAACCTTTAAAATCATAACGATAATGATGATGATGATGATTACGCTGATGATGATAACAAAGATAAAATGTCTGAAGCGGCATTCTTTTATTCTCAGCTGAAGCACTGAAGAATTCCTTGTTCACTTACTTAAGGGGTGTAGTAAACAATTTGAATGTATGAGAAGAAGGATCCTGAAATTTGTAGGAAGAGCAACTAATTCTAGGGGAAGAAAAACACAAGAACAAAACAAGGAAATATATCTTTCAGGTTCAATTTCCTTACTAACGCAGTGTTAAAGTCAGCCATTTTTCTGGTTTAGTCAACACAAATTTGTCACCTCTGACCACTGGAAAAATAGGGGTTTTCCACATCTACATGTTATGGATTATTCTTCAATGAGAAAAACAACAACAATAATAGAATATTTCTTCGAAGTTTGTCCCTCAATCTACTTCACTACTAAAAATTGAAATTTAACTGGAGGAGTTAAATCCTGATTTTTATTTCAAATTTAAAAATATAAACTTGTAAATGATACACAAATGCAATATTTGGCAAAAGGCTTTGTTCAATGGATTATGGAAATTAACAGTAATCATCTGTCCCCTAAAATACTCATTTATCAAAGCTGTAGTTGAAAAATTCTTGAAAGGCTACCTAACTTGTGTTGTTTTAAGACTGGCATTTCATATCAAAAGTAAGGCGTATTCTTGACAGGAATGACTATGTCTTCTCTATTCTTCATAAATTTCACATGATATTTAATACAGGCAATGTATATATTGAGCACTTAAGAAGCATTCCAAATTTGTCATAATAATCCATAACTCTAAAATCAGTAGACAGTTTAAACATTTTACTTTTCTTTTTATAGTTCCATTTTTTCTTGCTGTAATTATGAATATAGAAAAGGCAGAAATATAAAAAAACTCTAGCATGACATTAAACCATTTTCTTTACCTGTGTAGATTACTTTTATCTCCAACCATAACCTCGACACTTACAATTCATCATATCATGTGGCTGTGAGACTCAGTCAAATGTGTCATCTTTAGTACTGACCAAGTTAAAAGAAATGTCACAGTGTGAAATGATAGTTTGTATTTACTGCTGAGAATTGTATGGTAGCTAAAATTCCCATAGGGAGATAAGAATTCGGGAACCCAAATATATATCCTCCTGACATAAAGATACAGCTGTGGGAAATAATGAGATCATAGTCACATAGCCTAAGCTTCATTTACAGAGAACCATGCACTTTTTGACCCAGTTTAAATCAACTCAATGACTTTTAGTCACCCATTATGACTTTTTCCCTTTTTTATTGTAATTGTTGGGTATTTTGGGGGGGGATGATCTACATGTATGCTCATATTAATTGTATGTATACAAAAGCACATAGGTATGTATACAAAAACACATATACACATATATTAATACATGTATTTAGAATATGTTCTATAGTTTTAGTATACCAGAGGTCTAAATTATTTCAAGGCTATCTGAAGACTTATCATTGTAATATAGCAATTATAAATCATGCACATTATGAATATCTTTATGTGTATCACTTTCTATATAAAAAATCTGAATGGTATTTTCTCCTTCAAAACAAGCATTTCAAAAACTACCAGATTTAGTCTGGTTAGTGCAATGCATCTTTGTCAAAGAATATTTGTTTGATATATTATTAAGAGTAGTTTTACATTCTACTAATTAGTTAAAGAAAACCTTTTTGGCTGGTCATGGTAGCACTCGGGAGGTTGAGGCAAGGGGATTGTTGCAAGTTTGAGACCAGCCTGGCCTACAAGGTAAGCTCAAGGCCAGGCTGAACTGCATAGTGAGAACCCGTCTCAAAAAGACAAAAAGAAAAGAAAATCTTTTTTGTGGTTCTTTATATAAATATAATGTTAAAATATGAATGTTATATTTTAAAGTGCTATGAAAAAGCCAAATTGATGAGGCTGGTGGTACATGCTTGTAATTTCAGCACTTTCGAGGCTGAGGCAGGAGGACCAATGTGAGTTTGAGGCCAGCCTTGGATACATAATGACTAACAATAAAATATTTTAATACTTCTTGTACCTGAGGCTGGACTTAGCAATAAATTTCTTGTACTTCAAATGCAGACTTACTCTCTTTAAATTAAGATGGCATCTTAAAAAAATAATAAACATTTTGAAAATTGCACAGGTATAAAATACTCTTTCCAGATCCTGTGCTTTTCTGTATTATATATTTGGCAGAAATAAATATTACTTTTTCAGCTCACATTCCACTTTGATGTGGGCTGTAAATGCATAGTGTGCATATATATACACAGTGAGAGAAACTCTCATTTTTCTTAATAATTAGGATATAAGTTATCAGTGTTTTGAAAATCAGGAAATTTTACTGCAGCACATCTAATTGGAGAAGTCTCATTAAATAAAAAGTGGTGATTTACATAATTATAATTCATCCTTTGCCACCTTTTGAAAAAGAACGTTAAGTCTTTATTTGGGCTGAAAAAATAGTAATTTCCACATGCACATTTTAATTTGGTCCATATTCAGATAATTAACAATTTAAGAAATCTATTGTCTTTTTACTGTTCCTTGCTTGACCTTTGTAATACAACTGCATAGCACTTAATAAGTATTTGTTAGGCAAATTAATAATATGGATATTGTCAGAGGTGATTTTACTTCCAACTTGACTCCTATCTTGCTTATGTATTGTGCATAAATAATAACTGTACTGGTATTGCCAAAAATTATTAAATCTGAGGGAAATTCAGTTATGATCCCAGGTTCAGATGCCACAACCAGAGCCCAGCTCTGGCACTGGAAGGGGAAGACTCCTGCTGCTGTATCTGACATTGTATGAACGCTTAAGCTGCTCTTGGGGATCTAAGATCTGTGATAGTCTGGGAAAGCCAGGGAAGAAGTAGAAATACTGCTTGAAAAGCAGGTTCTGTTAGGGGAACACTTCCTGCTACCCTGGCGTCCCACCCTCTAAGTTTGGCTGCAGGATTACCCGCTGCTGGCTCTGCCTGTTCTCACCAAAGTCAATTTATTCTTTATTTCTTCCCCAGAACAGACTGCAAGTGACAGCTTCGTTTCCATGCTACTTTCCTTGGAGGAAGTACACAGATGCCCAATGGTGTTTTAAAGACTTCATAGCCATTAATAAATGGAAAAAGAAGCTGCAAACAGGGTCACCTTTTATTTTCCTCTGAGTTTTCCCTCTTTTGTCTTCCCCTCTGAAAATATGGAGGCATAAAAGCACACAGGAATAGCAATTATAAAAGGCATGGAAACACCCAGTGTAGTTCCTGTTTATTCATAGGCTACTTAACAGGCTGCAGGTCTCTGATGACTTTTTCTGACGTCATGGAGCTTCACCTCTGGAGGGAAAATAGTGGGGGAGATCGGTGTTCCCTAGAATAGTGGGACGGGCAAGGGAGAGGCAAGGGTGTGCTGTCCTCTGCTTCACCATAGCCTCTGTCACCACTAGTCCTGACACACTAAACCCAACCGTTGTCTGGAATTAAAGTGAAGTAAGATATGTGACCAGCCCAAAATCAGATGAAGTAAGAAATATGATTAGGATTCTAGGGCACAAGACATTGCAGTTTGTGTACTGTGTGTGTATACGTGTGTGTGTAGATACTTTTGGAAATATCAGATGTAGAGAAAATTAGATAAAAAGCAATCAAATGTAATAGGAGAAAAAGGAATGGAAATCCCCTGGAATATGATTTTGAAAGGGAAGAGACTTTCTAAACCTCTAGGCTGGAAGAAAATTTACCTAGTGACATTTAAATGTAAGGCAGATACTTAAATTGGATGAATGCATACTGAGAATGTTTCTCCACTTTTAATTGTGCATGGATTTCCTTAAAAGGATCTCCTTTCTTTGTTTTCAGGCACATTAGATACTCTTACAGAATGTTACAAAAGTGTATGTGCTTCCAAGAAGAATAAAAATTATAACATATGTCAGCAGAAAACAATGAACCTACAGATTGGCTGAAAAGTTCATGTTCATTTTTCTGTGTGACAAACTTGTGTTTTATTTCTAAAGAATTTCATTTCCATCTTCAATTCACTATACTCTCAGATCCAACCCTGCCTCCAAACTCCAGAGGAATTTTAGTAAAAGAAGTTTAAATGGATGCTTCTGGTGAATCCCAGAAATACAAAATCCTATGCATACATGAAAGTGTGAGGTTTTTCTATTTATCGTCAAATAAGTTCTGGAAGTCAGTTTAAGAAACACAAGTACAAGAGTATCAACTTTCCATACGGTGTGGATTTATATCACAGTAACCAAACCATTCTCAGCTTAGAATTATTGCAGTTAAGGTTATTGTGAGTCTTACAACAATAATAAATAAAATTCTTTTGGATAAATTATCATTATGATATGATATAGATGAAAGGAATATCATGCTAATACCACATGGCTTCAAGTAGCAATTAACTGCAGATCAATTGCCCAATTTATTCTTACCCCAGTTTCTACCATATAAAATACTACATATATGCCTCTGTGTGTGTGTGCGTGTGTGTGTATTAAAGACTGCTTCATTGCCTCAATAGCACAATGATTCCCCTAAGAGGGTAACAGTTTTCCATTGACCGTTTTGTAGATTCATTTGCTGTGAGTTATTTCTGGCCAGTGGAAAGCGCACAGTTAACTTTTGGGTATTG